AGTATAATTAAAAAAAAAAATCTTTTAGCTTTGATCAATTAGTTTTAGTATATAACAAAGGAACTAAAAGGTAGAAAAAGATAAAAAATTATAATTATAATATTGATATAGATTATGTAGTATGATTACATTTTTAGTTAAGAATATATTTTTCATATTTATATTATTTATGAAAACTATATTTTGTTTTTAATTAAATTAATTATACATTTGTTTTGTTTCTATATGTAAATATTATTGTTGATATACGAAGAAGTTTTATATTATTTTATAAAATTAATATAGATGAATTTGGAAGACTCAAAATGAGAGAAAAATTACAGAAAGAAAAGCGAGAGTGAAGGTGTTTGACTAAAAAATTACAAGAATTGAGAAAAAAATTTATAATTTTTTTTAAACAATTTGATAACATAAAAAAACTTTGTAAACAATTTTTATATAAAAAATCCTACAAAATAAACATAAAATTGTCAAATATTTAATATGAAAAAGAATGTTTAATATGAGTGATCCCAAATAATAAGTAAAACTAAACTTAGTTAATAACCAATTACAATAAACTTTAATATTATTAATTTCATTATGATAAATACTCGTATGATATTATGTTAAAAGATATTTAAACTTAACTCAATATTATATAAATGAGTTATAAAATAAAATTTGCAATCATTTGGATTATCAAATAATTTTATTCTTAACATATATAAAATTTTCAACCATTTTTACTATCTTTAATAGAAAAAAAGCATTAATTACAAGAATATTTATAAGGACTGATTAAAAAGAAAACTGAGGAATAAGATATGAGAAGTTTTGAAGAGTGAAAGAAAGAAAATTGAGAAGTGTAGTGATAAGTAGTAGTGGTGCAATGAAAATATTTTGGGATTTGCAAAAGTATGAAAAGATGACACTGACAAAAAAAAGAAAAGTCTGTTGTGTTATAGAAGAGCAGAGGAGAGAGAGAAAAAATTTAACACCGTTTATGTATATTTAACGGAAGGGACGACGTTGATGCAAAATTTACTAAATAAAGATAAAAGGAGAGACTTAATTGACAAAATTCAGCAAAATTAGGGACAAAGTAAGCTATTAAATCTTAAGGTTACATTCCAAATCTTTACAAAGGTGAGTTCTTAAGGTTTCTTACTCACGAGAATTTCCTTAACCATTTTTGTGGCACTCAACACCATTTATATCTCCAAGCCACATCACTTACAATTTTTCCAAGATTAAATGATTTTAATTTAATTTCTTTATTTTTTTTACTTTAACCCTCCTTTAATGCTTAAAGCTACAAACCAAAATAAATAAGAATGAATTAAGCAAAATCTAAACAAAATCAAAATAGATAAATGTTGAAATTATCTTAAAATTCTCTTAATTTTTAAAAACTAAAAATTATTGGTATATAAAATAGTCTCTATTTTTTTTTAAATATATAATTGAATTATAAATTAAATTATAAATTGGTCTATAACATTACATGTTTTAATTAGGAAAGAGTTATTACCTAAAATAGTTCGTCATTTGTTATTGTAGACATTAATTGCATGTGTTAAAAAGAAATCTAGATTCTAATTCACAATTTTTTAATTTTTAATTTATAATAAAAATTATTTTAAATCTTAATAATTTTGAGTTTATAAATTAGTATTTAAATTAGTAGATGTAATAATTAATTATTTTTTTATCTCTAAAAGTAGATGTTTAATAATTTTCTTGTATTCAATACATTATCATAATAATTTAATTCCACAATTAATAACATAATCTAACAAATAACTTACTCAACACTCACACAAGAAATGTTGACTTAGGAATAGAACTACTTTAACCCAACCAATTTGAAACAGAAAATATCAACTTTATTCATAATTATTCGCATACAAAACTCTCACTCAAATCATTATTGACTATCAATTGTAACTAAAATTAAAAATTGAAAAAAATACTATTTTCCTTATTTTAACTTTTCTTATGCTTAAAAATTATAAATGTTTAGCATCTTAAGAATCTTGAATAATCATTCTATATTTATATTTTTGAAGTGATGAATATAAAATTAATACAATTTTTATTGTTATTGTACGGAATAACAAGATTCAAAGTTTTCTTTATTAAAAATTAAATGTTTTTATATATTTTTAGTATCTTTATTAAATCATTAAATGTTTTACAAACTTAAAACATTGAATGGCTTTGTACTTAAAACATTTTAAATGCTTTTACACTCGTAAAGCATTAATGCTTTATTAGGTAAATAAGAAGATATGCAGGATTATATAATAAATTTGTAATTAGTGTGTTTTGTTTTTAACAATACTTCGTCTTTTTAAGTGTATTAGTTTTTTTTTTCACTAGTTTTTTCAATCTTAAAATAATTTTAAAAGATTTACTGGGAATACTTTTTTTAGTTCTTTTATTTCAATAAATTTCATTGTATTTTCTTTTTTTGTTGTTATAACAAATTTTTCTCTTTTCATATTCGCAAAATTAAGTAAATTAAGGGTACAATTAAAAAATACATTTTATTTTGAAATTAAAAAAAATATTATTTAAAAATCAACATTTTAAAATGAACAATGATGTTTGAATACTCAGTTTTTATATACAATAATTTTAAAATAATTAGTCTTCCATTTTTTATAATTGAATGATACTAACTCATATTTGAATATTTAAAAATATGAAATAAAATTAGCTCATGTAAAATTAGTTAATTTCTCCCTCTTTCTCTAAGACCTTTTGTAGTAAAATAAGAAATATAAATACTAATAATTATATTTTTTAGTAAATGATACTTTTTTTACTTTATACACATATTTTAATTGATGATATATGACTTTTTAGTTTTTGACCTTTTAAGTAGTCAGGTTTACCATTTTTTCTATTTCTAAGTCATTCTAAAAAAATATATTTATGTATACATATACAAGAATTGAAATAAAATATATGAAATATTAATACAATATTCTTTATTTTGGAAGCGGTGGATAGAGAATAAATACTAGTTTTAATGTTATTGCACAATTTAATAAAGCTTAATGTGTTTTTTAAATACTATTAAAAGCATTAAATGCATTTTGGTATTTTTAATATTTTCATTAAATATTTATTTAATAATGTTTTATCATGAATAATTGATAATGTATATAAATATATATAACATCCATTTAATATTGAATATAGTGTAGTTAATGCGAAACACAATTTAAAATAAAACTCCTACTACTTATATATATATATATATATATATATATATATATATAATATTTTTGTGTTTTTTGTGCATAATAAAGGTTCATAAATTGGACTATGCTTTTTCTGATTTGCGCGTCACAAATGTTTTCGTGGAATTTATTATATTTATGTTGAACACTTTCATATAAATGCATTATATATATACATGTTTAGCAATTGTTCAAGTGCTAAATACACTGTACAATGTGTTACAGAACCTCTTTTTATATTTGACAACGATGTTCTATGTTGTTGAATTGAAAGAGTTACAATAATAGCCAAATCATTATTGATCATCAACTATGCTTGATTCATTTATTTCACCAAATGTATTTCGGTTACTCTTTGTACTTAGACAAGATACAAACTACGCATTTGTAGTATGTATATGGATACGAACATACATACATTAATTTATATGTATGTATTTATATATATAGTATACAAGATTAATATGATTCAAATCATTTTGGAGAAATTACCAGGTACAATCAATTAAAAGAAAAAAAAGAGTCTACGAACAAAATGGAAAGTTTCTTGTTCCAAAAGGACACTACCATCTGTTGGAATATATGTGATGTCATAACATTTCAACCTGTGGAAAAAGAATCAAAGGTAGAATCAAGGTAGTCCTCAACGCCATTACAACGGATGATGTAATGCAATTAACAAATTATCAAGTCACGGATCATGGTCATTTATTTAATAAATATGAAATCCTGTAATACATGGTTACGTACAAATTATGATATTTAAATAGTCCTTGTTGCATTTAAAACGATAATTACCCACAGAAAAAAAAAAGATGAAACTATATAAAGGTAATTTATCCCCAAGTTAATTGACTTTGGAATGATAATAACGTGCAACACAATCATCATGATTGGTTCATATGTAACATGGTCTTAAGTCATATTCACCATACTTATAATTAAATCATAATGTCTGCTACAATAAGCTTGTCTAGATATTATGAAGATTAATATGACAGAATAAAGAAGAATTGTTGTTGGAAAGTGAAGGAAAATATCATCCAATTTATTTAGAAGATAAAAAAAAATAAAAATTAATTACAGTAGTTACAGAGAAAGTTATTATACTGTTATTAATTCAATTTGTTATAGCAGAAGATATACAAAGATGTACTTTTTTGGAGCTGAAACAATAATAACACAGAGTACGATTAACTTTTTAATTTTATCCTATCCCTAACCAGTTACCATTAATTATAGTTTGTGTGTGTATGAACGATCTTTTCATTAATGCAGCACAGAGGTGTAGGATAACCAAGTCAACAAAATTTCTTACAACATAACATGCAGATGCGTTTTCAAAATCCAGGCTAGCATCATCTCTTTGTGTTCACACGTCAACACACTTTTTCAAAAATAAAGAAACAAACTTTACAATGAAGGTATCTCCATAATGAAAACCTTCGTCTTGGTTCATACATATGTCTGTGTTTTTACTGTAACACAGTATAAGAGAAAATCAGAATTAGAAGCTGAGCAAAAGTGTGTAGTGTTACAGTATCTATGGTAGAGTATGTGAGAAAGTAAATGGAGTGTATAGAAGCAACAGAAGGAAGTTTGGTAGCCGTCATTTGTTGCACCATCTACTCTACGGAGGGCAAAAAAATTACTTGCAAAACAAAAGAAAAATGTCACTCTCTCTCTATCTTTTTCTTTCTCTCTCATTCACTAGCAATTACACCTCTTTGGCTCACCATTAAATGCAATTGCACCATCTCAATGCCCTCAGCAATAACTCATCGCTGCCACATTTTCTCCATCTGTTTCCCTCTTTCTCATCCTCCTTTTCTTTACTCCTTCAATTCCTTTGTCTTCTCTCCTCTTCTTTCTCCCCTCTCACTTTCTCCCTTCAAACCAAGCTTTTTCCCATCACAACACTCATCAAGCTTTCTATACTTCCCACATATAACCAACTTTATTTCCATATCTTCTTTCTCCAAGTCTTTTTCTCTACTATGTTTAAAAGGCTCCCTTTTTTGGCAACAAGCTTAGCCCCAAAGTAGATCTAAATACTCATCTTCTTCTACCTATAGCTATCGTCTCCGGCAGTCACCATCCACTGGTAAGTGCAGGAGAACTCCTGGTACATGTTGCTTTCCTACACGGTCGGTATATCATTCACGCCACTTCAGATCATTGTTTTGGCCACACCAAACTGTTCATACAGCTAGCAATTTTTTTTTTTTAAATCTTACTGTTTTTTTGTGCATTTGGCTGGCTAGGGTTGCTAGAATGCGAAAGGAACGGTAGGTTTGCCATATATATATATATATGTATATATATATATGTATATATATATATATATGTATGTATATATATATATGTATGTATATATATATATATATATAATTACTGGAAAGAAAAAGAAGGTTGGATGGATTCTCCTATATGTTTAGTTGATCCTTTTTTTTTTTCACTTTCGGATTCTGTTTGTCTCTGGTTTTGCAGTATGAGAAAATTTTTCAACACTTTCTTTCTGTGCATTTTAATGTGGCATATACACTATGCATTTAATTATTTATTTTTATTTAATATACATGCGAAGTCAGTTTCTGTGCCTGGGTTTTTTGGCTTATTATGTTAGCTTGTTTCCTTTTTGAAGTGAGCTTGTCAGAATCCAAGAAGAAACCCAACCTGTGAAATTTTTCAACATAAAAGCGTCTCAGAAGATCAACACAACACTGGACACCAGAGAGAATTGAATTCTCTAGAGTTTGAAATATGCCAGCTGGTATTATGATTCCAGCAAGAAACATGCCCTCGATGATCGGAAGAAACGGCAGCGTTGGTGGCTTTGGATTATCTTCGGGGCTCTCTCTTGGCCAGGTCAGTGTGCAACCTTCATCATTTAATGTCTTCAATAATCTCTTTTTTTTTTCTCTTCTTTTTCCTATTCTTTTTTTTTTTTCAATCTCTCGAATTTTGTCCCATTTTTGTCATAATTTGGTTCTGATTCTGATGCCAATTGATTGATGTGTTGGGTTTGCTCAAATTGACTTTATCCTTCAAAAGAGACCTTGTTTTTTCACAAGTCAAAATTGGTCTCAGTATGAAGCCAAGCCAGCTCAAACTCTCTCTTCTATCCTTCTCGTTATTCGTAAAACGCGTTATTCCTTCTCACTGTGTGAAGCTACTTGCTCACTTTCCCCAAAAAAACCATCAACCTAGTTAAAATCCCCGTGTTTTCTGCACAACCTCATACCAAATAATTTAAATTATTCCATCAATTAGTCCCCCTACCTATACATGTGAATTAGACACAAAGCCAAAAAGAAACATAAAAAAGTGTTCTTGTTGCTGCTATTTTATATATACCTTGTCTCTTTGTGGGTACTATACTGTACTATATACCTCGTATTCTTGTGTTGTTAGATTGAAAACCATAAGGGTCCAGAATCTCAAAGATCTGTAGAAATGTTCCAGCCAAACCTGATGGAAGCTGGTCAACTTCTCCCTTTGGACATGCCCCAGAACACTTCAGAGAGCGATGTCCCAAGAATCCGCGAAGATGACTTTGACAGTGCCACCAAGTCAGGAAGTGAAAACCAAGAAGGTGCTTCCGGTGAAGACCAAGACCCTCGTCCCAACAAGAAGAAACGCTACCACCGCCACACTCAACATCAGATCCAGGAAATGGAAGCGTAAGGCATCCAAAATACACTCATTTCTTTAATGTAATCTCATTGGGTACAGAACCAGACTCACAATCCTGTCTCAGTCTTACAAAACCATACAGTGGAAACTTAGGGCTTGAATTTCATCAGGACTTAAATTTGAGACTATTGACTAAACTGGAATGGATTTAGTGAGAGTTATTGAGATTAATTAGTTTTTTCTTTCAGGTTCTTTAAGGAGTGTCCGCACCCTGATGACAAGCAAAGGAAGGAGCTGAGTAGAGAGTTAGGGTTAGAGCCTTTGCAGGTTAAGTTTTGGTTTCAGAACAAGCGCACTCAGATAAAGGTACACTCCATTTTTAGCTTTTGTTTCTTTTGTTTAAAAGTAAAAAGGAAGAACTCTTTAAAGTGTGATGCTTTGTGTTACAGACACAGCATGAACGCCATGAGAACACACAGCTCCGAACTGAAAACGACAAGCTTCGAGCTGATAACATGAGGTTCAGGGAAGCTCTCGGCAATGCCTCCTGTCCTAACTGTGGAGGACCAACAGCTATAGGGGAAATGTCATTCGATGAACATCACTTGAGGCTTGAAAATGCTCGCCTCAGAGAAGAGGTATATTTGGGAACTGCTGCATGGTAGTTGTATCAAGATAGCAAGGACTATTTATGCTGAGAAACCTTTTCTTTGTGTATAAAATTAACTAATTAATATCACTCCATCTTACAATACCATAATAACAATAATAAAGACAAGGTTCTATCATTTACACTATTTGTTTAGAAAATATTTAAAAAATAATAATTTAACAGAATGTTACTTTCATAATTATTTGTAAAAATAAAAAATAAAATTAATTAAATTATTCAAATTAGCCGTTTGTAAACGCTGAATTAGTTTTTAAATAAGGTTTTAGACTTGCATCTTTTGTGTATGTGTATCTTACTTAAACATAAACATGATTGTGTTTCTTGAAATATTCATAATCTAGAACTTATTTTTCTTAATTCTTATACATGTCGGTGTTCATGTTCAGATTGACAGGATTTCTGCAATTGCTGCAAAGTACGTGGGGAAGCCTGTGGTGAGTTATCCACTTCTTTCTCCTTCGTCTGTTCCTCCTCGTCCACTTGAGCTTGGGATTGGAGGTGGTTTTGGTGGCCAGCCTGCGGGCATTGGTGGAGACATGTACGGTGGAGCTGCAGGAGATCTTCTTAGGTCAATCAGTGGACCTACTGAGGCTGATAAACCCATCATAATAGAGCTTGCTGTTGCAGCCATGGAGGAACTCATTGGAATGGCGCAAATGGGTGATCCTCTTTGGTTGACTACTCTGGATGGCACAACCACTGTTCTCAATGAAGATGAATACATCAGGTCTTTTCCTAGAGGAATTGGTCCTAAACCAGCTGGTTTCAATTGTGAAGCTTCACGAGAAACTGCAGTTGTTATCATGAACCATGTTAGCCTTGTTGAGATTCTCATGGACGTGGTAAGTAAGTGTACAGAAGTGTACAGGGAGAATAAAAAACAAAACATATTTTTTTTTTTTTTTTATTTTTTTTTTTTATTTTTTTCTTTTTTTTTTTTTTTTTTTTTTTTTTTTTTTTTTTTTTTCTAAAAAAAAATTAATATTTAGCTTCTGACTTGTTATATATTTTTTTGTGCTCTTAAGAACCAATGGTCCACAGTGTTCTCTGGCATTGTCTCTAGAGCAATGACTTTGGAGGTGTTATCAACTGGGGTGGCAGGAAACTACAACGGTGCATTGCAAGTGGTAATGTATTTTATACAATAGAGTGTCCCTTTCCTCCTATGATAGATAGTGAAACTTAGTTCATTCAATTTGTTTGTCAAGGATTCATATATAAAAATAAAATGCACGTCAATTTATATTATTACGCAGATGACAGCAGAATTACAAGTACCTTCACCCCTGGTGCCAACTCGAGAGAGCTATTTTGTAAGATATTGTAAGCAGCATGGTGATGGGACTTGGGCTGTAGTGGACGTATCCTTGGATAATTTGCGACCTAGTCCCTCAGCCAGATGTAGAAGAAGACCTTCAGGCTGCTTAATTCAAGAAATGCCCAATGGCTACTCAAAGGTTAGATATAATATCATTAATAAATCATTGTAAGGAATGAAATTCATTGCATGTCTTTTCCATGTCTCACTCTTGAAAAATAAGATGTCCTTTTTTAACTTGTAAGCTTGTTTGAACCCTGAGCATGTATCATATCATATCCTTGAGGAATTATATATATAAGTCTTGTGGTTGCATTTGGTAAATGTTTTTGCTCTTCATGTGGCTTAACTTGAAGCTAAATTTTATCCTAGGTCATTTGGGTTGAGCATGTTGAGGTGGATGATAGAGGTGTTCACAATCTATACAAGCAGCTTGTTAGTTCTGGGCATGCATTTGGTGCAAAACGTTGGATTGCCACCTTGGATAGACAATGTGAAAGGCTTGCTTGCGCCATGGCAACAAACATACCCACAGTAGATGTTGGAGGTATATATATGTATATATATATCACGGAATTCATTTCACACACATTTCTTGTTTTTCTATTTTTACATATCAATCTTCTCCTTAATCAACTAATCAATCTTACAAATATTGTAATGTAATAATTAGTGATAACAAACCAAGATGGGAGGAAGAGTATGCTGAAACTGGCAGAGAGAATGGTTATAAGTTTTTGTGCTGGAGTGAGTGCATCCACTGCACACACATGGACAACACTCTCTGGAACTGGAGCTGATGATGTAAGGGTCATGACACGTAAGAGTGTTGATGACCCAGGAAGGCCTCCTGGCATTGTTCTCAGTGCTGCAACTTCTTTTTGGCTTCCAGTGTCACCAAAAAGGGTTTTTGAATTCCTCCGCGATGAGAACTCCAGAAGTGAGGTAACATGCATTACTTATGTGTTCAAACCAGACAATAATCATGCACCAATGATTTTTTTCTTGTCCAATGTTCTAGGCTGCATTATTGTCTGCTCATAGATTACTAGACATTGTTGTTCATTGGGTAAAATTGCCTAGTTTGGTGTGTGATGTATCTCTATGTTGATATATGTAGTCATAATATTTAGTTATCATACGTCAAGTTTCTAAACTAAGTTATTTCATATCAATTACTTTTAATTGCAAACATCCTTTTCAAAGTGCAGAAGACAAAGTGATGATCATGTAGACCATGAAACTTTTTGTTCATATTATTTTATGCCATTTTACATTTCACAAATTAATTTTATCTGATAGCCTATTCTAATCCCTTTTGTAAATTAAACTCTTTTTTTTTAACTTTTCCGTCAGGAAATTATTTTTTTTAAAGTTTTTAGACTTTTGTATATGACCTCATGTTGTCCGTCTAAATTGTCTTAGTTTTTTTAATTAAGAAAGAAAAATACTTGTGTACACTCATATCTTATAAATAACAATTTGAGTCGGTGCAGTTTATATTATATTATAAAAAATATTATTTTTTCAAAACATTCATATTTGTTTTTATCTGAAATTGTCATATAACATGAAATTGTCATATTTTGAAGTACTATTTTATTAAAAAAGTAGAAAGAAGATAGTATATGGAAGATTGAGGGAAGATTTTTCAAAAGTAAAATTAGAAGTGACTGCAAAATGAACAAAATGGTATAAAATTCTAAAATTCTTTTTCCAATTATAAAACTAATACACAGATTTAAAAATAAGAGAAATGACATTCAAATGATATTTAAGAGAAAATATAAATTTAAAATATTATTTTGCATATGGAAGAATTACATAAACTTTATTATATTTATAGCAGTTTTTCTTGTTTATTCAACTGTGCACGGATTTGTAAATACTTTTTATAAATATTAATGAATCTGTTCTTGTTAATAAAAAAAATGATGAAATAAAATATGGAGGGATAATAGGTGTTGATGTATAAGATCTTTAAACATAATAATATCTATGAATAGTTAGTCTTTGGATTAATATTAATTATCTTTTTCATCTCACTGAAATTTGTTTATTTAATGATTCATCTAACTTTTTCAACCCTTTGAAAACAGTGGGATATTCTTTCTAATGGAGGAGTAGTCCAAGAAATGGCACACATCGCCAATGGAAGAGACACAGGAAACTGTGTCTCTCTACTTCGTGTGAATGTAAGTTTATCAGAGTCACATTGAAACAGTTTCCTTTTTCATTTACAGTGAAACTAAGTGAAGATTAAAGCAACCTATGTAATATATGTTTACAATGTTGCAGAGTGCGAATTCAAGCCAGAGTAACATGTTGATATTGCAAGAGAGTTGCGCAGACTCAACGGGTTCATTTGTGATATATGCTCCAGTAGATATTGTGGCAATGAACGTGGTTCTGAATGGAGGAGACCCTGATTACGTGGCCCTTCTTCCTTCAGGATTTGCTATTCTCCCAGATGGGACCACTGCACATGGAGGAAGCATAGGTGACACTGGAAATGGTGGATCTCTTTTGACTGTAGCCTTCCAAATCTTGGTTGATTCAGTTCCAACTGCAAAACTCTCTCTTGGATCTGTTGCCACTGTTAACAATCTTATTGCCTGCACTGTTGAGAGAATTAAGACTGCTTTATCTGGTGAAGTTGCTTGATCTAAGGTAAGAACAAAATGGTTTGGTTCTCATTTTCTTCTTTGCAATTAGTCTCTTTAATCTTATTAATGGTTTGTTTATTTGTTAAGTTGGATGCAGTTTAAAAAAAGGATGCATTTTGGAGAAATGGGAAGGTGTTGGAAACTTCGGCTTATAAAAAAAAGATGAGAAGTCAAGAGCGCACCTTGCATGATCCTTTCTTAACATTCAAAACGAGAGGATTAAGGTTCGGGAATTGACTTCCATGGAAATAGTAAATGCTATAAGAGCTTAAAAATCAATGAAGACCATATACTTTTCTTCACCTTCCAAAAATGCTTATTTATAGTTAGCTTTCTCGTTTGTTATTATTAGGTTGTAGCTTTGAGGTAACCTCTCGTGTTCCTTCTTCGGTTGTTATTATTTGAATTTCAGCTCAAGCACCAACACTATAGCTAGTAATTGGGAAGCTTGAACCTTTAGTGTAGTGGTTAAATTATCACTNTGTTGATATTGCAAGAGAGTTGCGCAGACTCAACGGGTTCATTTGTGATATATGCTCCAGTAGATATTGTGGCAATGAACGTGGTTCTGAATGGAGGAGACCCTGATTACGTGGCCCTTCTTCCTTCAGGATTTGCTATTCTCCCAGATGGGACCACTGCACATGGAGGAAGCATAGGTGACACTGGAAATGGTGGATCTCTTTTGACTGTAGCCTTCCAAATCTTGGTTGATTCAGTTCCAACTGCAAAACTCTCTCTTGGATCTGTTGCCACTGTTAACAATCTTATTGCCTGCACTGTTGAGAGAATTAAGACTGCTTTATCTGGTGAAGTTGCTTGATCTAAGGGTAGGTAAGAACAATATGGTTTGGTTCTCATTTTCTTCTTTGCAATTAGTCTCTTTAATCTTATTAATGGTTTGTTTATTTGTTAAGTTGGATGCAGTTTAAGAAAAGGATGCATTTTGGAGAAATGGGAAGGTGTTGGAAACTTCGGCTTATAAAAAAAAGATGAGAAGTCAAGAGCGCACCTTGCATGATCCTTTCTTAACATTCAAAACGAGAGGATTAAGGTTCGGGAATTGACTTCCATGGAAATAGTAAATGCTATAAGAGCTTAAAAATCAATGAAGACCATATACTTTTCTTCACCTTCCAAAAATGCTTATTTATAGTTAGCTTTCTCGTTTGTTATTATTAGGTTGTAGCTTTGAGGTAACCTCTCGTGTTCCTTCTTCGGTTGTTATTATTTGAATTTCAGCTCAAGCACCAACACTATAGCTAGTAATTGGGAAGCTTGAACCTTTAGTGTAGTGGTTAAATTATCACTATACTATATGTTTGATCCTTCTAAGATTTTCAAATGAATGTTTCTTCCAATTTGCCAAGCCATCTCCCATGTTCTTTTATTTTTGTATATGTTATTTTTAAGTGTTGAATAACCTTTGTGTTTTAGTTTATTTCAAAAGAAATGTAGAAATGTTTGAAGGATCAATCCATTGGAAAAACACTTCAGACTGACCCCTAGGGTTTCAATTATACAGTGTTTTGGAGAAGATAAAATACAGTGGCCAAAGTTCCTCTTTTTTAATAAGGTATATTCTTTAAATGCATGTGTTACATAAAAGGACAATTAAGTTAAGGAAAAAAGATTTTGAAAATACCTACAACTCATTATTACATAAGAAATTTATTTATTATATGATGGAAAAATTAATATTTTTTTATAATTGATCCAATGGATAAAGAGTTGTTTGAAATCTATATCAATATCCATCTTAGTTAACAAAAGTTCAATGGTGAAATTTAAACCAACTAAAGAATTAAGGCAAACAAAAAAAAAATCCATTAGTCTCATTTTAATTTTTGTGGTAAAAAGTTTAGTAGGAGTAGTTAGGCAAGCTATGGGTAAAATTTTGCTAAAAGGGATGGAGATGAAGAAGAATGGAATAGATAAAAACATGCAAGAATTTATTGATGATACATTGTTTATTTGTCAAGCAAAAATTCAAAGTATTTTGGCTATTAAGAACATTATAGGGATTTGGTTCAAAATAATCCTACCTTTTAAGGTAGGACCAAATGATATATTAAACCTATTTTTAATTCTCATCGTTCAAGATTAATTTTTTTTAAAATTAAAGTGGGGCATGAGTAACCAGCTCACTATAGAAATATTTTTAATTGTAAAATGTCTATTTCCTTTACTTACTTTGGCTTAATTATGGGAAAGTGCATTCTAGAATTGTATAATACAAAAGATTAGAAAAAAAAGTAGCTAATGTGTACTGATAAAATTAGTCATTTAGCCTTACCATTATTTTATCTATCCTGTTTAGGACGTTAATAAAAGTGACGAAAAAATAAAAAGGAATTTAGAAGAATTTTATGAGATTAGGGATATGATTGCAGGAATATAATGGGTAAATTTGGATAATATATGCAAATCTAAATATAAGGGGACTTAGTAGTTACATACGAGAAAACATTTAATTCGTTCTTACTTACAAAATGAAAATGATAAATGTGAAAGAAATTTTGGTATGAAAGTAAGGGTGTTGGAGAAGGCTGATGAACATTATAAAAGGATATGTAAGATTGATGAGTAATTATTCTATGAAACATGTTAAAAATGATATGTATGAATTTTTTATTCTAAAGCTTTTGATATAATCACTAGGCCAACCACATTCCTTTCAATATAATTGATTTTGTTTTCCATTTATTTGCATAAGATGAAAGTGCCGGAAAANCTAAAGCTTTTGATATAATCACTAGGCCAACCACATTCCTTTCAATATAATTGATTTTGTTTTCCATTTATTTGCATAAGATGAAAGTGCCGGAAAATGACACATGGTTTGTTATGATCCATTATATTCGAACCAACTCACTGATCACACATCTCCCATATTATTTTGGTTATTTTACAATCAAAGGAGAGATGTTTAACACTTTTCTCACTTTTTGCAAACAACTTGCATAAGGTATTGCCTAAATGTATACCCTTGCTAACTTTGTCTTATAATTGTCACCTTATCCATGGAGCACATTTAAGCACCTTAAAAATTTAAAAACACTACTGTCTTTCCCACCTATAATATACCTTGCAATCTATTATATACAAAACTTATTATATATGGTATTTCTTCTTCCTCTGACCATACTCAGGAAAAAATAACAGTTTCTTTTAATCATTTGACCATTTATGATATGTAATACGTCATGTTTATGTATTTCTTTTCTCACTCTAGTCTACCTCTTCTCCAAATTAAATTACATACTCTAGTCTAGCTTTTCTTGGTTTTCCATCCCTAGTCTTAATTTCCATTTTGCTAAAAGAACTTTGTTAAAATTTTCAATATCTCTAATACCTCTTGTTCCTTATATTTATAGAAAATTTCCTATGGATCCTATCCTCAGATCCCCAACCCCATAGGAAGTTTCTTTGCACTTTTATGGACTCTTTACATATATTTCTCATGGTTCTAGAATCTCTTTCCATTTCCCTTGGTTTTCCACCCATAGCCTCCATCTCCATTTTGCTATAAGGACTTTGTTAAAATTTTCAATATCTCTAGTACCTAGTCCCATTGTTCCTTAGATTTACACAGATTTCTCATTTGATCCACGTTATCTTTTTATCCTCAAATCCCCAGCCTCAAAAGAAGTTTCTTTGTACTTGATGAGCTCTTTATGTATATTTTAAGACGTTTTGAAGAATGATAGATAATATAGGAGAAATATTCAAATGACTGATTTTATTAAGCATACTCGATCAATAAAGGAATGAGATTTGTCTTTCTAACTACAAGCTTCTTTTCCATTTTATTTGTCATTTCTTGCCAAAATTGTTTTTTCTTTGGTTTCTCCCTATTGGTATAGACCTATGTACTTGAACCGGATTTTCATATATATTGAAATCTTTTAAAGATAATATAGGTTAATATATTTGTAGTTTCTTTTTGTAATTTTTTTAGAGTGGATAATTCTATATATACTAAAATTATAAGAGTTATTTTTGCTATTGACTATTCTCAGGAAAATAATTGTGCAAACAAGTTAATTCTTTAGGATTAAAAAATAAAATTTATTATAAATTATTATATTATGCAATCTATCTTTATTCTTAATATTTTTCATTTATATTTAGAGTTGTTTAGTTTCTTTTCAAATTGTTATGTATTTTGTGCATATATACGTTTGGTTTCTCTCAATGCTTTTTATTAATATCTTTCTTTTTTAATAATTTTTTTTTATGATAACAAATAAGTTATGCATTTTTTAATGTAGTATAGCTTAGATGTACTAATACATTAATTAGTATTATAAAAGAAAGTGAAATATTTTATATTTAATTTATAACAGATAATTTTATTATTTATTATTTTGAATGTTATTTTCTTATATAAATGTATTATTATAATAAAGAAAAAAAAACATTCCTCATGAAATCACATGTAATTTTGTTCACAAAGGATTCTTTGAAGTTTTGCAAGAAAATCTTCACTTATCCTTGCAAAAATTTATTCTTTTCTTATTTCTTTAAATCATTGCATCCCTTAACGCAATCGAGGGCCTTCCATATCTTTCCTCTCTTTTTTCTTTATCAGTGATAAAAGTAATGAAACAAACCGAGTGTTTCATCCTAAAATATCTATAGAATAAGTAGCAGAAATATATAAACCCCTCACATTCAGAAAAACATTCCAATGCCTACTCAAATACATTGTAGACTGATATAATAATTAAAATAAATAAAAGTAGTTTAAGTATTGTTATCTACTAATATTACCAACTAATATAAAATATATATTTATTAAAAATTTTGAAAATGAAAAATTAATATTTTTGTTTGTTGAGAAGTTTTATAGCTAATTTCAAAACTTGTTGCTTTCTAAAATTGGAACCTCAATCTGAAATGATGTGGAACCTTGAGGTGGATATGAAATACTCTTTTAAAAACAAAGTTATACTATGAAAAACCTAAATCACTAATGCATTATTCAACTTATATTTTTTAAACTCAGAAATATAATTTATAATTAAATGTATTTTTCGAAAAACTAATAAAAAACATTTTAGGTAGGTTCTTACAAAAAAGAAACAGAGCGAACATTTAATTTAGGTCTGATAAATATAAATATAACCAAAAGGAGTATAAAATTAAATTCCTTCCGTCTCATTGTTGGCATTATCATTCAAAATATGCAGAAAGGAAAATCAATCACATTACAACTCATACATATCATTTACTGCATAATTCACACAACATTCTGATATATTATACATACATTTCAATTCTGCGTCACTTCGACGATATTCAAAAGTCAGATAATGCATACATTTCAGACATCCAATCACAATTAATACTGTATACAATCAAACGTATATTAAATTAAAATTACGAAAGCTTCCCTTACATGGTCTAACAATGCACTTTAAAACTGCTTAGAATTATCTCGACACTCAGGCTCCTATCCAGAAATTCACTCAACCACTTCCAACTTATCTAATACACCAAAATCATTAACAGATCAGACTTCTAACTTACACATGCAACCAAAAAAATCTTGGTTTGCATGAACTAAATGGAAAAAGTTGCAGATACGAGAACTTACCAGTTCAGTTCTCAGTTTCTGTTCGGATCAAAATGATGCTCACAGTGCAGGGTAGGTTTCTACGGTGTCTGACATAGGAAGTGGAGGAATTGTAGTGAGTTACTTAGAGAGAAAATGAAAGCGTGCAGAGAAAATGCAGAGGTGAAGAAGGCGAGAGTTTCGTGAGGAAAGAGGGGTGATTGCATGCAGAGAATGGGAAAGAGTTTTTCTGAAAATTCAATTTCCTTCCTGCAGAAATAACTCCCATTTCTCCACACCACTTGTCTTCCACTTAAACGTCCTCAGAGCAGGAGCTGCTACCAACTGTGACACTGGCAGGGACACATGCAGTGGGAATGTGAGTGGATTTTTGGACGTTTGGTCAGGGCATTAATAGTGGTTGATCAGAGAATTGGGGGTTAGTGTATTAATTATCAGGTTCTCACACTTTTTATTTGTGAAATTGTTTTTTTTAAATTGTTTGAAATTGTTTTTTTTATTTGAATTATTTTTAATGATTTTATAGAAAAAAAAATCATAACAAAACAATTTTAAAAAAAAACTTACATGAATATAAACATAAACGTTTATTGCTCTAGTTGCCGGTTTTTTTTTAATATGACTGAATTAACATCTAAATGTTTGAGATTACGATACAAATTAAAGAAAAATAAATAAAGCAGGACAGAAAATTTATTTCTAATGAGTGCTCTTTAATTTAACAAGTTTCAAAATAAAAGAAATACATGATAGATTAGTGTAAATCTAGTGTCTTAATTAAAATAGTGT